TTTGTGACACTCCCTCTGGATTCAAGGGGCACTCCGGTAGCCCCAAATATTGTTTGTTTGTTTTTTTTTTGTTTTTTTTTTGTTTTTTTTTTGTTGCATTCCGACTCTCCCAGAGCAGAAGGTTTCGAGCTCCCTGGCCCCCCAAGTCCCACTCAGTACCTTCATTCTCAACTTTCTGACCGTAGATTGCGATGATCAGAGGTCAGAAATGAAGAATCAGGGTAAGTGGGACTTGGTCCCAGGCCTCGTTTGGATATTGAAATGAATGAATTGAGACTCTTTTAAAGGGGGGGGGAGGGGGAGGGGGGGGGAGAGAGAGAAAAAGAAAGAGAGAGAGAGAGAGTGAGAGGTGGGATCGGGGGGGGGGGGGGGGGGGGGAGGGGGGAGAGGAAAGAAAAAAAAAGGAAGGATTCGAACTGCTGGCCATGTATCAACAATTATATGTGAGCACCCCTCAGCCTCATGGTGGGTCAAGAAAGGCCATTCACTTCATCTGAAGGTATCTGGATTCGAGCTTGAGTCTGCATTTCAACAGTTCATCTCAAGGTGGAGAAAGAAAGGTCACTCTCTACCATAGTCTAGAAGCCGCTCGTTTCTTTTTTCTTTTTTGTTTGGAGGAAATGGCTTTCGTTTCTTATTTTTGTTTGGAATAAATGGGCTATGATGGCCTCATCATGCAACTGACGGGGCCAAGGTAATGCAGGGCTGCTTACATCATTTCATCGGAGAGGGGTTGGAGAGGACTGTTTGTCAACTATTCCGGGGCGACCTCAGGGCATATTCACACTGGGACCTTTCAGGACGTATCTAACCCGAAATAGGGCCAGGAGTCGATGTTTGAGGCCACCATCAGGCCCACAAATGAGCTGAAAAAGTCCTCCTGTGAGTAGGCCGTCAGTGCACGTCATCCTTCCCATGGCGATGCGGATCTTATGCGTGGCTTCAGCAACCGCCTCACTTTTCTTTCCTCTTCTTTTCCAGGGTTTGCCCAGGGCTGAGGGCATTCTTTTTTAACCGGAAATTTTATGAAATGGCCCTGAAAGTTGGGTTATGCCGTCAGCTACCCCTACGACACAGGGATATTGCAAAATGTCCTCCGCAAAGTTGTGAAACTTTTGCATAAATGCCCGACCAACTTCTGCCCCCGTATGTCCCTGTATGCAATGCATATGCATTGTAAACGAATACAGCGCATAGGTTGCGTTGTATTCGTTTAAACCGCCAGTATGTTTGCCCGCTTGAAAAAAAATACCGCGGTAGTTAACGCGGAGATGCGGAAAGATGCGGAAAGTGGCAAAAAGGTGGGCGGACTCGACCACATACATCCGCGAAACAGTGGCACACAGTTGAATTTCGGGGCCGCGGCCGATATGAGGCGAGGTACTGGCAGTTTAATCCCCATATGCAGTATTTAAACTTATTTTCGAGTTTAAACCACCCTGACCTCCGCTACAAAAATTTGGGGGGAACCGGTAGCGAGATACGCCAAAACGGTGCTCTCGCTACCAGTAGGTGAACGACCTTCCAGCCTGCAGCACTCGTAAAGGGGGGCGCTCAGTTCGAGGATGTGTGTGTTTCCTGTTGATGACTCGGATGACGGATCTTTGTCTGAGTGACTCCCTGACTCATGGGGTGGCGGGAACCAACAGTTCACAACATCCACTCGTGATGTGAGTAGGTGATGATCTGCTGCTTTCCTCCGTGCTGGATGTGGAGACTGCCTTGTTTGTGCTCCACCGCTGCCCTGCTGCCCGTCCCACTTGCTTCGCATGTCTTTCTTTGCAAGCTGCTATGTTCATGTTGTGTGTGATCATGATGTTGTGTTGTTGGTGTGTTGTTGGTCATGCCATGTGCTTCGCTGCTCTGCCGCCTTGCCGCCCATCCGCATGCCATGCCTTCCACGTCCTTCGTTTGTGTGCCGTGTAGTGAGGCCGCCTCATTGGTGTTGTCGTGTGCGTCACTGCGCGGTTGCCATGCTGCTTGCCTGCTTGCCCTGTTGTTCCTTGCAGTTGTTTTTAGCATTGTGCAGGTGGGTTGCTACAACAACATTACCTGGTGCATCACTGAGTTGTTGCCTGCGGTCGTGTTCTGCTTGTGGACACTTTGCCTTCAACAAGGGTCTCTAAGGGTCCATGACGGAAATCACCAATATGGGGATTCCCAGAGTGTCAAGGGTTTCGCCTCCTCCCCCACACCTGAGAAAGGACAGCTCCTACTGCAAAATCTGACGCATCGGTGGTGACAATAAAGGGACAGTCAAAATCGGGAAGGCGAAGAACCGGCGCACAGGTCACCGCCTTCTTGAGGGCGCGAAAGGCGTCCTCGCACAGGGGTGTCCAAAACCACGGCGGGTTCTTCCGGAGGAGGGTAGAGGTAAGGACGTAGGAATACCTAGCGTATCCCTGGATAAAATTAGTATAGTAGCTGGTGAGGCCTAGGAAACTGCGAAGCTGCTTGGCAGATGTGGGGACGGGGCACTCTGCAATAGCACTGATCTTCGCGTCGTCCATGTGGAGACCCTGGTCAGACACATGGTGTTCTAGGAAGTTCACTTTGCGCTGGGCAAAGCGGCACTTACTGAGCTTGGCATAGAAGTCATGCTTGCGTAAGCGCTGTAGGACATCGCGGAGGTGTCTGATGTGGTCTTCTAAGGTACGACTGTAGACCAAGATGTCGTCCAGGTATACGAGAATGTATTCTTCAAGGATGTCCCTGAAGATGTTGTTCATCGTCGTCTGGAAGGTGGCAGGGGCATTGGTGAGGCCGAATGGCATCACCGTGAACTCGTAGTGGCCGAAGCGCGATCGGAAGGCGGTCTTCGGTTGATCCTCTGTGGCAACGCGGATCTGGTGGTAACCGCTACGAAGATTGATCTTCGTGAAGAAGCGGTTGTCTTCCAAACGGTCAAACAGCTCATCCGCGCGGGGCATGGGATAACTGTTCTTAACCGTGTAACGGTTAAGGCCGCGGTAGTCGATGCAGAGGCGGAGAGTTCCGTCCGCTTTGCGAGCAAAGAGGACAGGTGCACCCCAAGGGGAGTTACTGGGTTTAATGAAACCCAGTCGAAGGAGCTCCTCAAGATGACGCTTGAGTTCCGTCGCCTCTAGGATCGATAGTCGGTACGGTGCCTGATGGTGAACACGATAGTCAGGCACGAGCTGGATAGAATGCTCAACACCGCGCATCGGGGGAATCCCGCTGTATGAGAAATACGGGGGAAAGAAGTGGCGGTACTCTCGAATCAGGTCGCGAACGGCCGGCTCTAAGTCTGTCGTGAACCGTGTGAGTTCCTCAGCGTCTGCGTCAGCACGATACGTATGTGTGGACTCGACAGTCGACGACGCAGGGGCCTGAGACATTGAGGGGGTATCCGCAGGCTAACGAGTGGATGTAGAGATGGGAGCCGCGAAGATGGAAGGAGGGTCAGGGGGATCGGGCTCCAGAGAGATGAGCTCAAACTCGAAACAGAGTGGATCGTAGCGAAGAAGATCCATGACGTTCACTGAGTAGAACGTGACGTCCTCCTGTCGTATGAAGTGAGCAAACTGACGAGGGGAAGTGAACGCGATGTTGGGGTGGGACCCTGAGGGACGAGGGTTCTGTGGAGGTAGGTTGGGCGGGGTGTCGTCCGTGGTTCCAATGAACAGGGCGCGATGAGTCTGACCACACTTCGTTTTGAGAACAAGTGTCTCGGCCGCCCATTCGGCCTCCGTGCCACGGAACGGGCGAGGCCAGGGAGTGCCAAGGATAAAGTCGTACCCGATCTCCAGCACGTCGAAGTATGTGGAGGAATGGTAGCGCCTAGGCGTCTGGGTACTATCTGATGGCTGAAGGGTGAGGGAGAAGTGGAGGTCGGGGACCGTCTGATCGAAGAAGCGCTGCGTCTTGTTATCTCCGAGGGTAACGGAGATAGGAGAGCGAGACCTAGAGGTAGCTAGGTGAGCTTCCTCAACCACTCGAGGGTGAACGAAATCTCCCTGCGAGCCAGAGTCCCATAAAGCGCGGTACACCCTCGTAGATGTCCCTAGGCGAATAGGGATGATGGGTAGGGTGTGATCAGGGTCAGAGAGCAGAGCGAGAAGACGACGCAGGACGTTGATGTGTCTCGTGAGTCGCTCCTGACGAGCCTGCAAAATGCTCAAGTCCAGGAGAGATGTTACAACGTCATCGCGAGTCGCCAGCTGAGCGCTACAACGGGCTGTGCGAATGGCGCGACGCGTCGGAAGTCTCGGGGGAGAAGCGCTAGATGAGGCGGTCAGCTGGGAGGCAGACGATACCTCGACAGACGACGGGGCAGAGAGAGCTGCGTCTGTCATGTCCTGAGGATCCTCTGGTGGGGTAGCCAAAGGGGCAAACCGCGACTCGGTGGTCGGGAAGCCGGCTACGAGCGAGGCCTCAGGGGTACACTGCACCGTGGCTAGCTGGGTGGGGCTGGCCAGGCGGGGCCGGGGGGGGACTGAGATCGGCGCTGACGAGAAATGTCAGCATAGTACCGATCGAAGGCGGTGTGGTATGGACACCGTGAGGAGGTGTGTCCATCCTGGCGGCAACGAAGGTAGCCTCGTCGGGCCTCGAGGGCGGCACGCTCCTCGGGGGATAGAGCTCCGCGAGGAGGGACAAAACCCTGCGGGAGGTCTATCTGAGGAACTGTGGGTGTGCGGGTGCCAGCCTGTGCAACCCGACTGCGTGCACGACCCATGGTAGACATGACCATCTGCAGGCGCTCGGCCATTGGGACAGTGTCGTCATCCAAGTGGTACTGGATGACGTCCCGAAGCTCGATGTCCTCGGGGGCGTCCCCAATGGTAGGATCGAGCTCGGCTGAGGCGTCCTCTCCATACTCGAGAGAACTGTAGTGTCGAGCGAATGGCGCTCCAGGTCGAGTCGGGCGACGAAAACGATCGGCAAACGAGGAGCGGCCTCGGGTGGTACCCCGAGACTGGGAGGTGGCGGCTGGCCGCGAAGAGGATGGAGCGACGGAGAAGCGACTGCACATCCTCTGGTACTGACGCGCAGCCTCGTATGCCTGCTCAGCGGAAGAGAATGATCGCCTTCATAGCTCTAGGCGGTGGTCAGTCGGCAGGCTGACAAGGAACCGGTCGGTGAGTGTGACCTCCGGTAGGAACGTCTCGTCACAAACAAGGCGAGCGTCCTGAAACACCCGGATGTGACGCTCCAGGTCAGCTGGTATGGGGGACCCGGACCATCTGGTTTGGGTGACACGGTCTAAGGCGTCGGTGGCGTCATGACGAGCGCCGAAACGCGTCTTGAAGGAAGGCCGCGAAGTCGGCCAGAGTGGGGACCTCACCCACATGGAGGCGCTGGGTATAATGATCCTCTCACGCAGTGGAGGAGCTACCTTACAATTTGGTTGCGAGCACATCGCACCACAACTCCTGACAGGTGGTCGTCATAGAGAGCGTGCGCGTTGCTATCTACAACCAGCGAGAGACACGGGATGTCCCATCATACTCGGGAATGTCCGTGGTGCGCACAGGAGGATGTCCACTGTGCTGATGGCGGGGGGAGAGAGATCGAGGCGAGTGCACTGCGGCAGCGTAAGTCGAGGCCGCTGCAGGGGCAGAGGTGGGGGAAGGTTGTGGGTCGTGGCCGCTGGTGGATGGACCAGCGGACGAGAAGACAACGGCCGCGGGCAGCTGTCCCGGAATAGCCAGGTAGGAGGGAAGAGGCTGAGGACCAGGTCGAGGGAAACGAGCCTGCATCATGGAGACCGAAGGGGTGGTAGAGGAAGAAGGGTGGGCAGCCTGTGATGGGTGAGGCTGTCTCAGAGCGAGAATCTCCGCCTGAGCCTGCGCAATGGTGGCCTGTAAAGTGGCCACTTGCTGGGTGCGCGGGGTCGGAGGTAGAGGGGGTGGAGCGGGTCTCCCAGTGGGAGGAGGAATCCCAGCCTGGGCGGTACCCTGCTGTGGGGGTGGGGGGACGAAGGCAGGAAGAAGAGGGCGGAGCTGTATTGCCGCGACCGGTGCGGAAAGCTGGGAAGCAACACCGGTGTGGGTCGATGAAACTGTTGGGCCAGAAGGCGGTACCAAGACCGCAGCACCTACGGCAGTAGTAGAGACGGTAGGGGTGGCCATGGCCGGAAGAACTGCCACAACGGACGGGGTGGTCTGAGCGGCATCAGCACTCGCCACTGCTGAGGGGGAGTGCTGGGCCTGGCCCACAGAGGAGGGGGAACCATGGTGACTCCGTCTCCGGAGTCCTGGGGAGCCGGAATCGGAGCCGGTAGGGGATGGGGTGCGGAAGCGGTGGGGAGAGCGATGAGGGGAGCCCTTGAGGCGGTTGACGTCGAGGGCTAGCGCATTGATTTGCGCTTGCAACGGTCCAAGCGTACTAAGTTGTGCCTGGATCGCTACAAGGGCGGCATAAAGGTCCATGGTGTCCACATGGGCCTGGCCAGGAGCTGCTGACTGCGCGGTGACCTGGGATGTGGACTGCGCCGCGACGATCTCCTCTGGTGTAGCGCTCTCCGTGGGCAGTGGGGGGAGATAAGTAGACATGGTGGGAGGTGGGGGGAGATATGGGTTGTGGTATGGGGACAGAGGACCACTGGTGAGATGGAGGGGGCCGCGAGAGCGGAGTGGGTAGTCGTGGGTCGGTTCGCCCCGTGACCAGCGGGTCGCGTGTGAGATGGTGGCGCGAATCCGGTCGAGGGGGGAGGAGCCGTTCGAGTCCAGGGTGCCCGACAGGAGGAGGTAGAGAGTAGGGGGTTTAGGGAAACCCTAAACCCTAGAAAAACCCTAAGGAAACCCTAACCGGAGTTTAGGTGGTTAGGGGAAGGTGGCAGCAACTTAATCAAGAAAATAAAATAATAACTATGGGAGGGAGGGAGAATAGAGTAAACAGTGGATTTTCGAGATAAAAATAAAATAAAAGAATAAATAGAAATAAATAAATAAATAAAATGTAAAGAGTGAGGAGAGAGAGAATATTTATTTGTTTGGAATTTTCGGCAACATTTTCCCACCCCGCATGGGGTCAAAAATGTGCCAAGAGGAAGGAAAGTGCAAGAGGGACACACTAACTTTCAAAATGCCGCAAATTAAAATTTTCATAAAAATAAATGAGTAAATAAATAAATAAATAAGGAGGTGGAAGAGAGTGAAGAGAAGCTAAGTTTTGAAAATTTTCAAAAATTTCGGCAGCATTTCGTTACCCCCATGGGGTCGAAGTGTGCTGAAAAATACTAAGTAAAGAAAAAACCAGAAAATTTCGGCAGCACTTCGTTACCCCCACGGGGTCAAAATGTGTGCCGAGAGCGAGAATGGCTAAGTCCTAATCAGATTTTAGGGTGCCACAAAAAAAATCAAATTTTTAGAATAAATTAAGGAAAATAAAATAAATCAGAAATATGAGAAAAGAAGTAGGGAATAAAATAATTCAAATTTTTGGACAAAAAGAGTAGATTGAAATCAAAGAGAAAGAGAAAAGAAGAAAAACAGAAAAAATCGAAGTGGGGGGGGGGGGGGGGATGAAAAAGTGATGAAAAAAGAGAAAAATAGGTGGGAAAGAGAAAAGATTGAAGTGGTGATGGGGTTGTAGTTGGGGGAAGAAAGGAGGAGAGGAGAGTGAGAGAATCAGAGAGAAAGCTATGAAAAAGGTAAAGAAAAGAGGGAGAGATTAGTAAAAGAAGGTGAGTGGAGAAAGAGAAAAGAAAAAGATGGTGGGAGATGAGTGAAGAGGGAGGGGTATGAGAGATTAATGGGAAGGAGAGGAGATAAGTAGGGAAAAGAAGCAAGGAGAGTGAGGTTGGGAGAGGAGAGAGTAAAAATATGGTAGTGGATGGAGAAAGAGTGAAGGGGATGAGAGATTAGTGGGGAAAAGAGGAGAGAAATGAGAAAAGTGGAGAGAGGAGTGAGAAAAGGTGATGGATGAGCGGTGGTGAGAGGAAAAGAAGGTCAGATGATGAAGGGGAGAGAGGGAAAAAGGGAGTGGGAGAGTGGATTAGGGATGAGAGAGGTGATACCCAGCTCTTAGGTAACCAAGAGCATACAACTTCACCAAGATCCACAAGATCTTGGCCTTCACACACCCCTTGGGAGAAGGGGTCTTCAAGGTGGTGATGAACTGCTGCTGCACATTATCTGGGGTTGGTTGAGATCTTGATCAGCCACCCAGTTCCATTGTAGTGCAGCCCCCTAGCCAGGGGGGTCTTCAAAAAAAATCCTTAGCAAACTGCCACGTGGCACTTTTGGAGATGGCCACGGATCAAGAGAGGAGACGTAGAG